TTTCTGCCCCCGCCCCGCCCCCCCCCCCCCCTCCTGCCAGCCTGTCTGCCCCTTCCCAACCCCACCCCAGTTCCTGCACGGTTATCTTTGAATGACTGCTCCCACCCTCCCAGGCCGTTTGCAGTTCCTCCTTTGGTACTTCAGACCCCTCTTACTCATCCCTCACACTTATTCGTTTAACAAATATTTAGCAATTTATCAACAAATGTTTTTTTCTATCCTCCCTGTGCCTTACAAAAATTAGAGAGTTTAAAAGTAAGTTTAACAAATGTTGTGGAGCATGCTCTAGGCACTGGGGACGAACAGCGCACAGTCTGTCTGCATTGTGGAAGGCAAGCAAGCAAGTGTAGGTGATAACGTCAGAAGGGCCATGAAGACCAAACACAGGCTGACAGACGCTGTCAGAAGAAACACTCAAGGGATGAATTAATTTAACACACATCTTGTGAACATCTCTTCTGGGCCAGGGTCTCTGTTAGGAGCTGAGATACAGCTGGGATTTGGACAGAAATCCCTGTCCTTGTGGTGCCCGCAGCCTCGTTGGACAAACAAAATACACAATGAAACAGCCATCTCCAGAGTGGAAATAATATGAGGGAAATAAAGTGATGTGATAGGGAGGAGTATGGAGAGTCAGGGACGGTTTAGCTGAGACATGAATGACTAGAAGTCAGCAATGCAAGGAGCTGGGGATGGACCACTTCAGGTGGAAGGAATAGTACATATATGCATAGGTACTGAGGTAGGGATACGGTTGGCATAGCCTAGGCCCAAAAGAAGGCTGGGGCAGCTGGAATGTGAGGAGAGAGAGGGAAGAGGTGATGTTGGAGCAAGGACAGGGCCTGGGAGAGTCTGAGAGGAATTAGATTTTCTCCGGGGGGTCCTGGAAGCCAAGGAAGTGTTTTTTGTTGTTGTTTTTTTAAATATATTTTATTGATTTTTTACAGAGAAGAGGGGAGAGGGATAGAGAGTTAGAAACATCAATGAGAGAGAAACATTGATCAGCTGCCTCTTGCACACCCCCTACTGGGGATGTGCCTGCAACCAAGGTACATGCCCTTGACCTGAACCCTTGAGTCTGCAGGCCGACGCTCTATCCGCTGAGCCAAACCGGTTAGGGCCCGAGGAAGTGTTTTAAGCTGGGAGTTCCTTGGTCAGATTTCTACTTTAGAAAACCGGTGTTGTGAGGAGGATGGATTTGCCTGGGGACGCAGGGGGAGATGCTCAGGAGGTCCTGTGGCATGGGGACTGACGACTGGGAGGGAGGGTAGAGAGCCCGGGTTCTAGATGGTTCCGGAAGAGGAGCACATCGGGAGACGCTGGAGGCCAGTTTCGTGTGGCACTCATGCTGCCCCCAGCGGGCGAGGAGGCTGCCGCACCCAGGGCTGGCGTTTAGGAGAGAGGCTGAGGCACAGGTGTGGAGAGTTAGGCCATCCCTACCTAACCCCAGGTGTGCCCTGCGCTGCCCCAGATGGCCCTGCCCCGCACCGTGACCCCAGAGATGCGAGCACTAGTGGTGGACTGGCTGGTCCAGGTGCACGTACGTATGTAGGTACCAAGAAGGGGGTGGGGTTGGGCCTGCGTGGCAGCCTGATTGTAACCTGCGCCCCTCCCCAGGAGTACCTGGGCCTGGCGGGGGACACACTCTACCTGGCTGTGCACCTGCTCGATTCCTACCTGCGCTGCAGCCGGGTGCGCCTACACCGCCTGCAGCTGCTGGGCATGGCCTGCCTGTTCGTGGCGTGCAAAATGGAAGAGTGCGTGCTTCCCGAGGTACTTCCGGGGCGGGGCCAGGAGAGTGCAGCTCTTTCTCCTGGCAGCAGTCACAGGTTAAACGCCTACTGTGTGCCAAGCACCATGCCCCGCAAACACTTCATATCGTCTTGGAATCCCAGCAGATCTGATGAGGTCGGGGCTGCCAATGTGTCCTTTTAACATTGGAGGAGACTAAGGCCCAGAGAGAGGAAGACATTTGCCCAAAGTCAAGTAGTTGGGACTTGGACTTAGTTACAGTAGTTATAATCCTTAACGCGTGGTTACAGTTCACATGTGTAAACGCAGTGCATTATCAGAACTGCCTGGTGAAGTAGCAGCAATGTCTCCGTTTTACAGATAAAGAAACGGCGTCTCAGCGCCCTGGATGTCCATGTCACACAGTGCGGAGTGGTAGGGTTTGAACTCGAATCCAGGTTTCTCTGACTCTGAAGCCTATATTCCCCAAGACTTCCACACAACAAATCAATGGTCCCATTTTACAGACCAGAAAACTGAGGTCCAGAACGTGGACAGACCCGAACCCAGGGCAGGGAGTAACAGCCAAGGTCTTTCTCCCCAATCTGCAGCCGGCCTCCCTCTGCCTCCTGGGCGCTGGCTCCTTCTCCCAGGCCGAGCTTCTGCGAGCCGAGCGCCGCATCCTGAGCCGCTTGGATTTCCGACTGCACCACCCGGGTCCACTCCTCTGCCTGGAGCTACTGGCTGCTCTGGCAGGGAGCAACCCCCAGGTTCGAGGGGAGGGGCAGTGGCTTGGCCTGCGTGGCGAGGGGCGTGGCCTGTGCGGTACCGACGCGTGGCCTGATGGTCTGGCCGGTGATGCTTTGGCAGGTGATGCTCCTCGCCGCCTACTTCCTGGAACTGTCTCTACTGGAGGTCGAGGCCGCTGGGTGGGAGCCCAGTCGCTGCGCAGCGGCGGCGGGG